CTTTTGGTGCTCCAACACCATCGCATCAACTCCAGCAAATACTTTCCCTCCCACATTCGGAGGTATAACAGAGAATGGTGCTCCCGTCGGTATCGGTGAACTCACTTGGGATTGGGCATTAGATTTCAGAAATATCATCGTCATAATTGGACCTTCAACTCGTATAGGGACTAGAAATCCATTACATTTTCAAAGAGGTGCTTATGATGGTAAAAAATTCGGATACGATCAACCTGATGGTGATTCTGAAATCACTCGTTGTGTTTCTTTAGAAGATGAAAATGTTGAAGAAAACATTCCTGTTGAATATCTCAAACCTGCATATCCTGATGGACCAGGTCAATTGGTGGTCGTCGTAGGTGGTGGGAATGATATAAGAGGACAACAAAGAGTTACTCAATACGAAAATGATGGACAATGGATGTTGGAAGCTGAAGAAGGTGATGAAGGAGCTTTGGTCTTGGATGCGAGGGGTTTGTGTAGGATTTGGAGAGTGTGAGTCAGGGTGGGTTTGAATGCATTGGTCTTGGTGACAATTCGTGACATTTGTCGGTGGGATAGATCATTTGCGACTTGCCATACCAGTGTTGGTAGGCCTAACTTACTGTTGTGAAAATGATGATCTGAGACTTGGCAGCTGACTTGGGGGAAATGATTGGTGACCGACATGGACTGACCCTCCAAAGGTATACTTGAGGAGGGGTGCATATTGACACTCGAGCATGATCAAACCAAAAGTGGTCCGTGAAGATGGGAGATGATATCAAGTACTCTTACTCGTACTCGTACTCCTTATGTTCGTCGTACTCTACTGAAGGTGAATCGTTTGCATGACGAACAGACCAATAAACTATGAATCTACTAACTACAATTCAGACATTCATCTCTGTCAATGTAAAGCTACAACACAAAACCATCATCATCTCACCCTCTCCAAATTTGAAAATATCTAGGAATACTAGTTTTACCCCATCTAACCAACTCTACTTTTTTCATCCCTTCTTCATACGTTCTGACAACTTCATATACCCTATTACCCATTCCGACCTCTTCTAACCATTTCATTCGTTCTACCAACCCTTCAAGTTCTTCCACTTCACTACCTCTATCTGGTAAATTGATATGTAAGACCTTCAAATTACTCTGAGACAATAGATCGAAACATTGATGAACAGGTTCAAAAGAGGGAAGGGTGATGTATAATTCTTCAAGATTGCAGAATTCTTGAAGGAGGAGGGAGAGTGTATCTGAAGAAAGAATAAAGTTCAGGAGAGAAAGTTTGAGTAAATTTCTAGGAGAAAGTTGACAGGATAAAAATGGGATAGAATGAGGTAAGAGGGGAATTTGAGAGTTTGAATAAGTTATATGAAGGGATTGAAGGGATGGGACGGGTGGTAAGTGGGGAAAAGGGAGAGAAGGAGGGGGAATGGGTTTGTGAGAAGTGAAAGTGGAAATTGGGAAAGAGTTGGAAGTGGTAGTAGGGGAAGAAAGAGGTTTGGAAGGTGATATTGATATTGAAAGTGTGTGTAGGAAAGGAAGTGGAGGGAAATGGGACATGTCGGTTAAACCCTGTATGTCAGGGTAGAGTTTCAATCATGAATTAATCAAAGTTGATTCTCCGTTGTGCTACGGATGAACAAGAAAGAGGGTAGAGATGATATGAGTGATCCATACTCAATTTGGGTAAATTGTTCATAAAAAGGGTTCAATCTACTCAACCTGGGAGATCCAAGTTGAGCAATACAAACTGGAATAGGCGGGGGGGGGGGGGGGGGACCCATAAAGGGGAATATGGAATAACTCACGGAATGACTCAAAGCCTCAACCCCAAGTTCTTCTAATCCTTCCGCTCGGCCGAATTATCTCTCCCATTCC